TTTCCCTTTCGCGATCAAGTCATGCACAGCTCTCTCCCTCCCATTCTCCGGCCAGCAGCTCCACTGCCAAGTCATTAGAAGCGGCTGCGAGACCGAACCCTTCGTCTTGACCGCTCTCATCTCCATGTACTGTAAGTGCGGTTTGGTCGAAGAAGCACGCAAGGTGTTCGACGAAACTCCCGTGTCGATGCTTCTCGGCGTTTGTTACAACGCTTTGATCTCTGGGTATGCCGCGAATTCCAAGGCTTTCGATGCAGTGAGTTTGTTCCGTAGAATGAGGGAAACTGGCGTGTCTGTGGATGGAGTTACGATGCTAGGTCTTGTTCCGGTTTGTACTGTTCCTGAGTTGCTTTGCCTTGGGATGTCCCTTCATGGGCAATGTCTTAAAGATGGAATAGATGCCGAGTTAGCTGTCCAGAACAGTTTCATCACAATGTACATGAAATCCGGGTCTGTCGATTTAGGTAGGAAGTTGTTCGAGGAGATACCGGTTAAGGGTTTGGTTTCATGGAACGCGATGATTTCCGGGTATGCCCAGAATGGGTTTGCCTCTCATGTTTTGGAACTATACGAGAAGATGAAATCTTCAGGCGTTCGTCCTGATCCTGTAACCTTGGTCGGCGTTCTGTCCGCCTGTGCTTATCTCGGAGCTCGGAGCATTGGGCAAGAGGTAGAGCTTCTTATAGAAGCAAATGGGTTTGTTTCGAATGTGTTTCTCTGCAACACTCTGATCAATATGCACGCGAGATGCGGTAACTTGGCAAAGGCTCGTGCCTTTTTCGACAGAATACCCATTAAAAATATAGTTTCATGGACTGGAATGATAGGCGGATATGGGATGCATGGACTGGGAGAGAAGGGGCTCGAGCTTTTCGATGAGATGGTTAGAAGCGGTTTAAGACCTGATGGAACAGTGTTTGTGATGGTTTTGTCTGCTTGTAGCCACTCAGGGCTAACAGAAAGGGGTTTAGACTATTTTACAGCGATGGAGAGAGAGTATAAACTTGAGCCCGGACCAGAACACTATTCCTGTGTGGTCGATCTTCTCGGGAGAGCTGGTCAGCTAGATGAAGCTAGGGAGCTCATAGAATCAATGCCCATTGAGCCAGACAGCACAGTTTGGGGCTCTCTGTTGGGTGCCTGCAAAATTCATAGAAATGTAGATATGGCAGAGTTAGCTTTCGAGCGGGTAATTCAGATAGAACCCACGAATGTCGGCTACTACGTATTGATGTCGAATATATATTCCGACACCAAGAACGTAGAGGGTGTCTCGAAGATTCGAGCAATGATGAGGGAGAGGAATTTCAGGAAGGAGCCTGGATACAGTTATGTGGAACATAAGGGGAGAGTTCACCTGTTTCTGGTCGGGGACAAGAGTCATGAGCAAACAGAGGAAATATATAGAATGTTAGATGAGTTAGAGACCTTTATAATGGAGATTGGTGAGGAGGGGAGCTGTGATAAATGCAAAGAGGTACCACCAAGCAGTATGCGTGAGCATAGTGAGAGGTTAGCGATAGCGTTTGGGATTTTGAACACCGATCCAGGCTCGGAGATTCTCGTGATAAAGAACTTGCGGGTTTGTGAAGATTGTCATGTCTTCATCAAGATGGTTAGCAAGATTGTGGACCGTCGGTTTGTTGTTAGAGATGCAACCAGGTTCCACCATTTCAAAGATGGGGCTTGTTCATGCAAAGACTACTGGTAATATAATAAGTTATACAAACTGCCACTTACATGGAATGTCTGCAAATGATGATGTCATCAAGCTATACATGTCAGAAGGATGCCTGTAAGAAGTTTGATGCTTGAGCAATACAATAACTTAGTCGGTTTTGTTGTGGTTTGCTATGGAAGTTCCAATTCGGTAACATGTTCGTCTTCAACGAACGGGATGGTTTTCCGGACAATCACCTTCAGGGGAGCACCTGCGAAAATGAGGAAAGTTTTGAAGAAGCGATAACTAATCGATTTCTTTATATATATATATATATATATATATATATATAAACGTTTTTTATGTACGTATTCCTTGCTTGTACACATGAATTCCTGCTAAAACCATCCAAATGATTGGCTCGAAGAGTTCAAACATATAGTAACAGCTATATATGTATATATATATTACACATATGTATACAGGGGAAAACAAATCAGGAATTTACAATTAAATTTAGCCATACCAAACGAGTTGACGACTCGTACACCGGTCCTGAACCGGATCGAGTTGGTTCATGTGTATTTCGGCCCATTTGCAAAAGGACCTCGTCATGAGCCCGCAAATCGTGGCAAGTCACGGCCCGGTCCGCGGGCTGAATAATTTTTTTTTATAAACCTATTTAAACCTAAAACCTGATTTCTCATGCAAAGACTGGTTGGAATTACTTAATGAAATCGATTAAAACAATTTGTTTTGATTTTTTTTGTTAGTATATATAATTTTTTTGATTAATTTAAACATACTAGTTGTTCATAATAGATTGTATTATGAGTTTTTCTGGAATATATATTTTTTTATCTTAAATTTTTGTTAGCCGTTTGACATGCCTAACTAAAATGTTGATTAAATGTTGTCAAATATATATATATATATATATATATATATACACACACTTTTTTAGTTTTTTTTCATAATAAACACTATGCGTTGGCTTTTCGTCAAACCCAATCAGTCACATTTTCTATATAATGTTTATAGGATTGTTTTTAAAATGGTCTTCAATTAATGGTGTGTAAAATGTTTCAGATTAAACAAATAGTTTTTAAAATGAAATGCATAATATAAAAATTATTATGAAAATAATATATATATAACTGTGTCAATACATTGGTAAAGATCCATATGAATTATTATTATTATTATTATTATTATTGCAATTATTTGTTGCAAACACAAACTTTTTTATCCGTGTCGCAACCTGCCCCTCACATATACTCTGAAGTACTTATCAGTATCCTATCGTCTTTGCGCATGTTCTCTATTCCTGGCAAAAAAGGGCCTGTGTCTTATTAAGTTTCTTGGGATTAGAAGTAAGGATGTACTACTTTTTGTTCAGTGAAAAGCTGCGAAAGATGAGCTAAATGAGAGCGAAGAGGAAGAACCAGAGAGATCGTATGAGATTCTAGAAAGGAAGAGACAACGAGAAATTGAGGAATCGAAAGCTCATCAAATCGCCAGTGGAGAAGCTAAAGACAACGCTAATTTCCAACCCCTTGGTGGTGACTGGTGAGTTCATCCTTTTGAGATACCCGGTTGGCTTTATGTTGTCATCTCTCAATTTCTCAAAGGAATTCCCGTTACTGTTTGGTACATAGGCCTCCATCGGTTTGATCTTTGATTGATTCATTGCCCTCATCTAACCTATGTTAATGTGGCCAAAACAGGCGTGAGAAAGTGAAATGAAGGAAACAGGAAGCAGCCCGAAAAGCTGCGGAATCGGAGCCTACAAAAGACCAAAACCAGAAGCCTGATCTGAAACAAATGTCGGGGGATCTCCCCTCGGGATGGCAGGTACCCCACCCCTTTTTCAAAACAACTTTCTTACAGATCATGTCTCTCAAAGCTCATATATATATATATATATATATATTTGAAACGTATTAACGCAAACAACACGCATGTTCCTTCCTCCATGGAATTGGAAGGCATATTGGGACGAGAGCGCCAAAAATGTATACTACGGGAATACCATTACGTCTTAGACATCATGGACCCTTCCCTCCACCACCAGTTAAGGTGATCCCTTCAGTCTTTTTGGTTTTTTATCATATGTCCAATACCACTTTCCCTATATTTTGCTTTCTTCCTTCCTTCAAGCATTGTCATAATGTTGATTTTTGTTTTCTCAAGACAGAGATACATAGAGACTCGTTTCGGTATACAAGAGCGTGCCTTTGAGGGAGAGTCTTCATACAAAAAAAACCGTGGTCGAGGATGGGAGGGATGTGGAAGTCTTTCAAGTTTCATCGACCCTCGTCCGTACAATATGTAATGTTATGTATACTATTCCCCAAGTTACAAACAAGAAACGATCATCCCATATTGTCACCGGTGCCTGATTTAGAAGAACCCATCATGGAAAGGTTGATAGGTACCGAAATGCCACGTGGCATTCTGCTGCTGCTGCTGCTATGTCGTCGGTGGTAGCGGCACCTGAAGGAGCCAGGGTGGGTGGTTGGGGCGCAGAGGCAGTTGAACCTCCCGCTCGACGACCTCCCCATGACCGAGCCAGAGCCAGAGCCACTGCCACTGCGGCCTCCTGCTCTGGGGGACATGTTGTAAGCCTCCTGCCTTTTCACGTCTTCATGGCTCATCTCCGGCATCCTTATCTTCTTTGTCTCTTTCAATGTTGTCTTAATCTCCTTCTTCATCTTCACCATCCTCTCCTCTTCTTCCTCCTCCTTTATCTCTTCCATTTCCCCTCTCTGTTTCAACCCGACGAAAAATGATCCAGATTTTCCAAATCAGATATGAACAGGGTATCCGTGTTTAGATATGAAAAACACCAACATTTTTGGATCTAACTCATCAACTAGAAGCGATGTTCGCGTATCTGAAGATCTAAAGAGATACGATCTCCCTTTTTTTTTTACATCTATGTATCCAAAATGAAAAAGGTGAAATGAACGTTACCAGTGAATTCTGCTTCTATTGTTTCTCTTCCATCCTCGTGTGTGCGAATTGCAAGAGGGGAAACAAATGAAAAATTGGTGAAAAGAAATGTGTTAAGAGTACGTTGGAAGTAAACTCCCAAAAATAGTAAATTTTCTATCCTTAGCTTAACGGTTCAACAACATCCGATTTCATCGCATAATCTAAACGCATGGGTACGCGCATGTACATGTGGAAGCGTATCTTCACGCCATAAGACATTTTTCTTTGGCATAACGCGGGCCATTGGACACTTGATTTCGTTAGGCGGTTGACGATATCAAACAACGGGAAGCGCAATTTTTGAATATTTTGTGAAAGACACGTGTATTTCGAAAATAATTTATACGTTATTTGAAACTTGTAAAATTATCTATGAGGCATTTTCTTTTTGCAGATTAAGGATTTATACGATTTTTTTTATATAACAAATATGTGAACATGAATGCAATAACACTTGCAGATAAGTGATTTGGGCCTAAAATATGTTGGGCTCTGTAGGAAGAAAGGCGCGTAAAAATAATTCCACGCGCAACCCCCGCGATTATTACGCACGCGCTCGATTTCGATGGACTATAGTCCACCGATTTTGGCCAAATACAACGCCGAGAGAAAAAGGGCGCGTGGAGCTGATACTTGTTTTTTATCTTATCTTCCTTTAACGTAACGCTTTTTTGTAACGCTTTTTTTTATTACTGCCAGCTTATATTAATTACGAGAAATATCTTAAAGATGCGTTTCTGTGAGATTTTAAGTACTTTTAAAAATATATAAATTTGTGTAATATTTATTTTATATATTTTACATTTACAAAGATAAAATATCTTAAAGCCGTATTTGATTTTATATATCTAGTAACACTCGAAAAAATAACATTTAAATAATATCGTTCGCTCTAAAAATTAATAACTATACCATTAAATTTGAGTTATAAAGTGTTATCTGGTCATTATTATTAAATATTTTTTAAATAAACAGTGAAATAAGTTAATTGCTCAGAATATATAAAATAATCTCAACTACTATAAAAATATTATTGTATAAATATTATTGTCTACTAATAAAAATAATAAATTTTACCTCGTTACACAAATCATGCTAATGAGAATGGATTTGGTAAAAGATCACACCACAAATATGTATTTTATGTAAATTTTATTTTTTACAATATTTTGAAAGAATATACTGCTGTAAATCGAACCCGTGATCTGACACTAACAACAGTAACATGCACAAACGGTTCGACAATAGATTGAACTAATAATGAATTTTAAATAGGGTTATAGTAATTTGAGAATAATATCACAGGACATATTATTGCATATCCTTTCATTATATAGAATTTGAAAATTTTAAATCTATAAAAATTTAAATCAATAATAAATTAAAATAACTCATTTATAAACCGTTCTTATTTTTCATTTTATAATTTTTTCAGTTTTTCTATTCTATTTACAATCATTTTCATTTTTTCGCATCATTATCGTATCAACAAAATCGTCAGTAAATAGAACAAACAAAATACAAATATATATACATAGTTATATATACACTCTCCTATACATATTATAAAAAAATATAGATAGATATTATGTATATTTACAATAGCATTCTTATATAAATAGATATTTACATATATCCATATACATATATATATATATATTGTATATATATATAACGTCGACAATGTGGCCATAAATATTTTTGCTTCTACATTTGACGAATGATTTCATTAGGAGTAGAAATGATAATTTCGGATTTCAATTTGATATCAAGGTTCGATATTATGGTTATAGAAAAATTATAATCATTCTATTTATATATCAATTTTAATTTTTTTTTCAATTCTAACATATACTTACATGTATAATGTGGACAATGTGACCATAAATATTTTTGTCACCACATTTTCACGACTTGCCAAATAGAAATTTTGACGATTGATTTCATTAAATGTAGAAGTGATCACTTTAGATTTCGATTTAATAATATCAAAGTTCAATATTATTATTTTAAAAAAAATTAAAACCATTCGAAATTTGTTTCGATTCTATTTTGGATTTATTTTTTTATTAGCAAGAACTCAATTTTTTTTTTATTTAGTTCTAATTCAGTTTCCAAATTTAGAGAAATCGTATATCAGGTTTAATTAAGATAATTTTTCATTCCAAACCAACCAAAACGAACATCCTTTGTGGGCAGTTGATGAGATGTCACACATTGGCTAGCCCAATTTGTGAAAAAATTTCGTAAGCTAAACATGTATTTTGAAAACGATTGATATGTAGTTTTGAAAAGCTTTAGAGCTTTTTTTACACATTAATATTTTTACATGAAAATTTTGCAAAACAAAAAGGAAGGGTTTCACAGAGCAAGCAAACACAGAGACACACGTCGCGGGTCGGACCCACAAAACAAACAAAGAGCATTTTACTACTATTACTATCCCGAAGGCAACCCGACTTGTTTTTTTTTTTTTTTTTTTAAATAATCCCATCAAGACAAACCCATTTCATCCTTCTCCTACAACACTATCATGACTACATTGCTATGAAATACGGTCCCACCAATGAAAAACATGAAACTGGGATTTAGTTTATAATTCTGGCCAAATCACACAAAACTCTGAATGGATTCCAGATACAGACACACCATCCAATAATATAATGCACAACAACAACACATGCAGAATGGCAATTCCCACATGTGGATTCCTAAGATATATACATATATAATATAACTCATACCATCTTCTTCTGGTGATGATCTACTTAATTCACTACACACCTATTTAATCACAAGGCCTAATGCCACTGGGTCACGTAGTAAATGCTAACATGCCGGCTATGCTTCTACTACACGATTAAATATCCACAGCTATACGGCCTAAACACTATCTAGTCATGTTTATACTTACATCTCTTTCAAACTATAGCAATAGCACTCAGAAATGGGAGGCTCAATCATCTAACCAGGCAACACACACGACAGCTACGCTATCTAGATCTGTAGATCACACTTCATGGTGATAGAATTAAACTCTAAACCGAGACGGCTATAGTCTACACAACAATTCTAGATTAATAAACTTAATACTTAAATTAGACAACAAAACACACAATAATAAAGCACATGACTTTAGTGCTCTCCTTGTCCTGCGCATCCATCCTGAAGCTCTACATGGTTCTCTAGAATGTCTAGCGATGGGATAATCTAGAGAAACCTGTGTGGAGCCCCTATAGAATCCGGATTGTCTTACTTCATGTTCATGCCTGCCTATCTTGCATAAGGGTGGTATCGACTACTGCCACTATAGCCCCTCCCATAAAAACCACCTGCTCCTTCATAACTAGCACCTGGACCAGGTTCAAAAGCGCCACCATAGCCTGCACCGCTGTAGCCCCCATAACCTTCCCCTCCCCTAGAATATCCACCCAAACCCATTCCACCATAACCCACACTACTGCCATAACCTCCACCACCATAACCCCCACCCCCACCATAGGGCCCAAAACGACTTGGATAGCCGAGGGAAGGTTCACCCCGGTAACCTCCTACACTGCCACCTCCATAGCCACCATAACCACCACCAAACTCACCATTGCCACGACCACCTCCATACCCATATCCTCCGCCAAACCGACTTCCAGGCCCTCCATGGGACCTAAGTGGGCCTGGACCATACCCTCCATCAAAACCTCCATAAGGACCACCAAATCGACCATAATTATCATTGAAAGAACGACCTCTAGGGTTGCTACCATAAGGAGCAGGCGGTTGGTTCGAAGATTTCTTGGGTTCAGCTTTTTTTATCTCCACCTACAAAAAAGCAACTTAGTTAACCTAGGCTAGGATGCATGGTGCAATCTATAACAGGAGCTAAGTGCATTCGGGGCAACAAGCTAACAGGTTTTTTTACTAACTAGAGATACCCCTGTCAAACATATTTCAGATATACTGATAAAATGACCGAACAACTATTCCACCATCTTACTACAATAAGCTCCTCGCATTTGGAGCAACAAGCTAACAGCTTGTCCCTAACTAGACAAACCTAAGTCATGCAACCTGAATACGAATATAAAGAACAAGCAACAAATGTCTACTCTGAATCTGAAAATAGACAGAGAGAGATCTCTATGTGTCACAACTCTGTCTCATTTTCTACAAGCATACCTGAGTGTCTGCCATATCAATCATGTTTCCTTTGGATAACAACTCATCTACAACTTCTTCACTGTCAAAAATTATAAAACCAAAACCTCGGGACCTGTTTGTTTCACGGTCATGGATAATCTGGTGTTCCATCACGTTCCCATATTTGGAAAAGAAATCCCTAAATTCATCTGACGAGTAAAACAGATGACTGTAAGCACACCATAAATTCAACATCCTTTAGTGATGGCAGAATATTTACAAAGCTTAGAGAAGAAAATGTACCTTCTGTTACTGATGACGGTACACCACCAACAAAAATCTTCTTTGTTTTGATATCCTTTGTCTGACTACCACCAGCACCTTTTGGAATAGTTCTTTTAATCTCAACCTGAACCAACCCACAGTCCACGTTTAGAAGTTATATCGAAATCCATAAGAGCTATGACAGCAATCGCCAGAATACTACAAGGGAGCGACACAAATGCTCCCCAATCTTCTGCACTAGCTATTTACCAAACAGCGTTTTAGATATTGAATCATAGCAGTTATAGAATATATGTCTATAATATTATCATGCAATCTAAGAAAAAGATATGCAGCATAAGCAACCTGCTTCCCATTGATGATGTGATTATCTTCAATAACTTTGTCGACGACAGAAGGATCAGCATAGGTGATAAAACCAAAACCTCTAGGTTGTCCACTATGTCGATCACGCATAATTACAGAATCTGTTATCTCCCCGTAATTCCCAAAATGTTTGTTGAATACAGCTGCAGTAAAATTAACACAAGCAAGAGCAATCAACATCCAACACTCGCACTTTCGAAGACGCATAAACACGCGTTCAATTTTAACAAAACCCTAAAAATACGACTCCATTCGCTGAGAATAAACTAGACCGAGGGAAACAAAAATAAATTATGAACTCACCATATGTAGCGTCTTTAGGTAATCCCCCTATGAATATTTTCCTGCAACGCACAAAATCGAAACGAAATAAAAATTTATCCCAAAGCGACACAAAAATTCAAGAATGCGAACCAAAAAACCTAAAATATCATCATAAAACATAATCCTAATGGTTTCCGCTTAATCTTCAGAATTCTAAAAAGTTGGAAAAAAAAAAACGAAACAGGCGAAACAAACCCTGGACTAGCGCCATCGCCGGAGTGGAAATTCTCATTCTTGGATGTAAAACCCATTGTAGTTCCTGAATCGACCAGTAATTTCGCGTTTCACTCGAGGATTCCCCGAGAAAATCCCAAACTAGGGCTCGAGAGATAGGGTTTCGAAAGGACCTCAAAAATAGAACTAAGGGTATCACTTAAATCAACCGCTGCCACGAGAGCGATTTTATAATGGACGAGGCAGTGTCAAGTGATGGGTCGGACTAGTTTAGGCCCAGGATTCAGTCATTGGGCCTTGGGTTTTAATATGAGAAGTTCTAGCATTTTGATATTTTCTAGTTAAGTTTTTTTTAAACTATTTTATCTATTTATTTATACATTTATTTTACTTTTTTCCCTTGAGTTACCTAGTTTATATTTCCTTTTTCTGAATCTAACAATGACATTTTTGTGTGTATTAGGGATGTCAAACGAGCCGACTCGAATCATTTTTGGTTCAGCTCGTTTGATTCAGATCGTTTTGGATTCACTCATTAGGTTCATTTTTTAACGAGTCGGAAAAAATTTTGACTCAAATCGTTTACCAGTTTTCCGATCTGAACGAGCCACCTCGTTGAGGCAGAGATATATAATATTTTTTATTTATATTTATTCCAAAATTAACAATAAAATAAAATAAATACATAAAAAATAAATAAAACTTCAATATCATAAACTACATTCAAAAAGTGTTGGTTGGAATTTTAAAATATTTAAAAAATAATCTAACAATAGTTCAATAAAAAAAAAATTTAAATAGATAATAACAACAAAATATATTTCAATACCATTTTCATATTTATACTCTAATTTTTATTTAATATTTGTAATTATCACCACCAAAATAATTGAGATACTTATAATATCAAATGAATGATATGAGAAAAAAGAGAAATATAAAAATATATCAGAGTTTTTAATATTAAAAAAACAGGTTGTTGAGTAGTTCATCAGCTCGCCGAACTGGTTCGTTATAACTACGAGTTCAATGAACTGGCTCATTAAATTCGTTTTTAATAAATTGAAAAATCATGACTCAAATCGTTTATTTTCTAGCGAGCCACGAACCAACTCACGAATCAGGCTCGTTTTGACACCCCAGTCTTTCGTTATTTTGTCTTTAATTGAATAAATCAACGTTTGCTGATCCTTGAAATTTGATGAATATTCCAATTTAAACATGAAATACTGTATTATTTTTATTATTATTTTACATAACAAATTTTAGGATCAGTTCAATTTAGATAGGAACACTTGATAATGTAAAATATCCAACCGACGTAATTCTACCTCTTATAATCACACGTTATAATCCTTTTTAGAGCCATCCGACATGGATTTTATTAAAGACGTTGTCTTTTCGTATTATTTAATTTAATTAATTTAGTTTTAAAAAATAATAATTTAAATCGACGGCTTCCGTAGAAATGCAAAAATAACGTGATGGAAATCCAAATAAAGCACGGTCAGGAGAAATACCGATGCGATGACGAAAGCGATAGGGTAAATGACGTCAGCGTATAAAATAAGGGCCGTAATTTTTTAAGTGGAACATACATACGGATACGGTATAAAATGTCTCTGTGTCTGTCTCTATCCCTCTCTCTCCTCCCGCTTCTCCCCAAGCTTCTTTCCAACATGAGTAGCGGCGGCGATGGCGGCTCTAGGGTTACGATTCCGGCCGATCTGCGGAAAACTATACAGACCATCAGAGAGATTACGGGGAAGCAACACAGCGACGAGGATATCTTCGCCGCGCTCAATGACTGCTTCAACGATCCCTACGAGACCGCTCAGAAGCTCCGCTATTTAGGTAGTCACAGAGCCTCCTCCATTGATTTCTCTTGTAGGCTTCTTCGTGGGAGGTCTCGTTTCTGGATTTGATCTTTCTTTGTTTTTTTTTCTGCCCTTCTTCCATTTTCTAATGGTTTGATAGGGTTTGGTGAGTTTGGAAGATTGTTCGTCATGATATATCTCTTTGATCCAATATGTCTGAGAATTTTCAAATGTGGGATCTTTTCGAGGATATGGAATATGCAGTTTTTTGGGTTGATGACTTGAAAATGTCGCTTAAAGTAGTTTATTCCTCTCAGGCGTGTGCTGAAAGGTTATTAGAATGATTGAAAAGGAACATTTGTTAGCTCCCAGATGAGTTTGAATCGTTCAAAGATTCTCGTGGGCAATCGGCTTCGATTCCTTATTCTGTTTCTACTTTCTAGATGTGGCGATTTTGAACTTTTGGTTTGCAAGGAATGGAATAGACGTATCTGTTTTCTTATGAACTCCAGAAAGTTATAATCCATGAAGAGTATTATGTTTTAATTGATGATTTTTTGTGGCACATTATTTGATTGTGAATAATTTCATTCATAATATCTTGAGAAAAGAAATAACTTGGGAACGATCGGATTGCAGATACATTTCATGAGGTGAGAAGCAAACGGGACAAGAAGAAAGAGGCAAGTTTCCTCTCTATTATGAATTTTTATCTCGCAGAGTCGCAACTTAACTGTCATGCTGAGACTTTGTTGAGGCCTCAAGAGGCAAACTATTTGTCGATTTATTTACCAATCCTGAGCTTGGTTTGGTTTGTATTATTACTTCGTCTATGGTTGCATTATCTCAATCTGCTTTTTAGTTTTTTTATCAAAGGCAGTGTCATGATTACTGCATCATTTCTGTTGCAGAATTTAGTGCCAAATACCCAAGGAAATGGCAGGAGTGGTCGGAGAAATTTCACTTCAAGTCATACTAATCCTGGTAATTTTTGTTCTTTAATCTATGGGTTCAAATTTGTAATGTACTTTTCCCTTATTTGAGATCTTTGGCGATGTTCAGATGTTGGTAATGGAAGAAGGGCAACTTTCAAAGGGGAGAATGGAGTTAATCACATAAAAGGAGGTTCCAGACCTGCTTATCATCCTTCACCTAACAAAGCAAGAAACATCACAGTATCTCGGGCGATAAAGTATTCTTATATATCATCCTCCCATCTTGACAATCCTGTTTGTTCTTTTTCCTAAATTGTGGTTTAGAGCCGGAACCCCACTCAACGGGGATGTTTTGTGCACTGGGCTGCCCTTTAGTGCTTTAAGATATTTCAATTCTTTTGCAGGACCTCTAATAGCCCCACAGGTCTTCCAAATGGGGTGGCTAAAGATAAAACGCAAGATGATTTCCCTAGCACAGTAAAGAATCAATATGCAGGACAACAACCTCAACCTCTTTGCAAGACTAATTCTGGCCCCGTGGATGGCGTTGAGACAGATAATCCCAAAGCAAGTTCTGAACTTGTTGCAGCATCTCTATCAGGTTCTGTTGTACAAAACCATACACAAGATGCTCTAGATGAAAATTCTGCTCGGATCTCAAAGTCTGTTGTGGGAATCAAGCCGGCTGAGTTACAATCATCTTCTTTGAATAAGCAGGATCCTTCATTGTTTGTTCCTCCTAATTGCAATGGTCACACAGGTCAAGGTATTCTATTCCAGTTTTTCGGGCTCATTAATCATTAGTTTAATCAAATGTCTTGATCAGACCAGCTTTTAATTTCTTGATCAGTTTTTTAAGTTTAGTTATGGGCTTTTATTTGATTTGGCCTCTGGCTTGGTTTCTCTCTCTCTCTTTTTTTTAACAGCCTCTACTGATGAAAGCCAATCTCAGTTACTTCTTGAGTCGGATAGTGGTGAACGGCCACATGTCACATTTCCTGTCCACATCCAGGCTGCCAAAGCGTTGGAAAATGGTCTGATGTTTGGGAGCTTTGATTGCAATGTCACGGAAGAGACACCTTCCAACGATGGCTCTATTGAGGGTGATCATCCAAATACCGAATCTTCTTACGGGATTGGGGACAATGTCGTGGAATCTTCTCCTACTAGCGATGATATTCCTGAGGAGGCTCCTTCTAGGTTGGTAACTGAGATACTGTGCCTTATCTATTGACATATTTCTAATTCTGTCTTGACACTGATACAGCCAACACTGATACAGCCAACACCTTTCAGTCTCAGATGAGGATAGGTGATAGACTCTAGTGCAACTTATTTGAGATAGAATGGAGTTTCTTTTTTTCCCTTTGTCTTACAATCCTATTTGCAGCTGTCTTGATTTTTCACATTTGGGAGGGTTTACCAAAGAACAAGTTCTTTTTGCAGCCAAGATTTGTCAACCTTTACTCAAGACAAGGATAATGATAGTTCAAAATCAGCACATGTAGCTGAGGTAGTTGTTTCTCCTGTAAAGGGTTCCAAAGGAGATGACATGGGGGAGGAGGATTTATCAAATTCAGGAGGAAACCATCATATCCCCTCTGTCCATAACACCCAGCAAAATGTCTTTGGTCTTGTGCCCTCATTTTCAGCAATTGGCCAACCCACAAACACAGGAGCAGTGGAGACTCAGGCATGTTGGCCTCCTTTTGCCACGATTTGTTAATACAATACTTAACCTTGTTTTGATACATTTCTGATAAACTGCTTTCTGAAATTGCAGAATGCAATTTCCAAGCCTCCAACTCTCTTGTACACCGATCTTGCAGCATCTCAACAGGCAGTTCATCTTTTTAGGCAACAATACCATCCCAACTTCTTTCCTTACGGTCCCTATTTTCCACCCTTTTATGTGCCACCACATCATCCACACATACACCAGTTCTTGAGCCCGAATGGATTCCCTCAGCAGTCTTATTTACCACCAGGAGCTGCTGTTGCTTCTGCTCCCGGGATTAAAGTTCCTTTCCCTCAGTTCAAGTTGGGAAATATCGCTGGGAACCCTCCTCCTCCAGCTGCAGTTCCATTCCCCTATGGATCTTCCACAGTTGATTTTAGCCACATTCCGGCTGCAACCCCCATAAACTCTATCCATAAGGAAGACCTCTCAATATCACAATTAAAGGAAAACGTTTATACAATGGGACCACTGGTCAGTTGCTCTTGTCTCTTCTTTCATCTTCCATGCGGCTTTATATTTAACAACTCTTTGATGTGATATTGTTCTTGCAGAGCGAAAACGCAACAGCTTGGATGGCTGGGCAGAGCCTGTCCAACCTGCAGGTGAGTCCCATGTACAACAACCTGGCCCTCCAGGGTCAGCCACTTGCTTTTCCACCAATGCAGGCTGGTCATGGCGGATTTGCCGGAATTTACCAGCCAACACATCCCGTATTGGCCACTGCTCCAACTTCCGATCAGACCCTACAACCATCACGCACCACACCTGCAATGGCTGAAACTGTAGGGCCATCACCAATTGCGTATCAACAACCACAAGCAGCACAGCCAAATTGGGCCTCCAACTACTAAGTCTCGTGCAACCTGACGTCTTTAAAGAAAAATCTGTTATAAAGATGCACAATTGGAAAAGCTAAAACACTCATGCAATTCTGGATTTTTGAGTGATTTTGGGTGTAAATACTTAGGAATATGGTTCCAGAGGAAAACAAACTTAGGATGACAAATCGAGCCGGGAACAGACAGTCGGCCAGATAGAGTTGGTGTTCCAAGTTGCAGACTATTTGCCCCTTTTTTTGTTGTGTGTGACCACCAAACAAAGAATCCTCATAATCGGCAAACTAATGATGTCTCTGCATCTTCATATCTCTTTCTGTGTCAGACTCAAAAAAAAGGGAAGACTCTTGTCTTGCTATATTGATTCGGGGCTCGATCACAATGATTCAATCAAACTTGGTTTAGTTCATTTTCGAGGAGTTCATTTTCTCTCTTAATGGCATCGAGATCAGCCTGTAATTTCTCCAGGCTCATGCCTTGTGCTGCGATGGCTTGCAGCTTCTTCTCGTGCTCGGCTGCTTCTCTTCCTAACCTATCAGTAACCAGGATTTTCTCTGATGTTTGCTCAAATATACCATGGATGTTTGCAAGTAGTTTGTAGATCTGTCGCACTGATGGGTCCTTCTTCGCTTCCCTGCCGAGCAGGAAAAAAAAAGAAGAGGAAACCATTCTCATGAGCAAACTAATGCAACACAAACGGTTAGCTCAATGGTCGACTAAGCATGTGATTCCACCTTAAATATTTCGGTTTCAAACATTGATTAAGGAAACAATGCCATTTCTTATCCGATAACACTACCAACTTATGCAATATGTTGGTTAGTCAGGAGCGAATTTGAGTCAGACTAGCTAACACGGACTTCTGTTTCCACATGATATTTCGCGATGACTAAGAAGCACCATGCATGTTTAACCAACATGAAAATATCTTGTGTTGGCCGTCCGTTCAATGCAAATTTGAACGATGATGAACAATCTTGCTTCAGTTTTATATAGCTGAAGCAAAACTGCAATAGTTTTCTAAACTAACTGCAGACTCGTGTTAACTAAAACTCATTGGTTTTTTGTGGTGAGAACAGATGATGCAGCAAATGTTAGATGATGAGTTCAGAAACATGTCATACCTGAGAACCATTTCATCAACAACAGCATATGCTCGATGCAGACGTTCTTGGATTGAATTACTCTCTAATTGGAGCTCTCTAGTTTCCTTCAAGATCCTCTGTATGTCGGAGTCCAGCTTACGGCTGTTTTTTGTTATTTCTTTAATCCTCTGGATATATGATTTTCGAGGTGCCGCTTTCAGCTGCTTCTCAAGTTCTGAATGCAGTTTACACCTCTCCTCTTCCCTGAAGATGAAAGGGTAATACATAAATTGGATAAAGAGTGTGCAAAGAATAATCTAAACGAGCAAGTGGCATTTGGCTGCCGACGCGTAATTACTTCTGCAGATCACCTACTTGATTAGATATACATACATACACTCTTTTTTTTTTATATAATTTCACATTCAACAGTTTCGCATCTTATTCCCCATAAGAAAATATATGGTTAAATTAAATTCTCCCTACTAGCCAAGAACCAAAAGCTAGAAAAATCATAAAGGGGCTTCAACAGAAATCAAGCAGCCACAGATAAAACCAAAACAGATGAAGTCAAAACAATTACAGACCCATAACCAAAGCCACAACCCAACTTTGATAGTTTCTGTTTTACCTCATTTGTTTTACGGAAGAGACAGATTTTATCTCCAGCTCAATCTCTCCCAGCTTTTGGAGTTTCTCTTGAGCTTCAGGCTTGTCTGCATAGAGATGGTTTATGAGGCTTAGCTTCTTTGTTTCCAAACGGAGCCTTACATCATCCCTGAGAAACATAACATACCCAGGTTTAAAATCGCTTTTCTAAAACCACACATACTGTACTTTTTTCAGGCTCTCATATCTTGTCTCTATAGACAGCTAAAAGTTTAAGGAGAACAGCATATTGCTTATACCATTGCCTTTGAGTATCTATGTTCTTACTCCTTCTGGCTAATAATTGTTGACTTAGCTCTTCAAGATAGAATTCAACGGGGTGTTTAGCATCAAATAACCTCTCCGTGGCCGCCTTCAACAATTCCATCTCCTCATCAAGATTATGCAGCTCTAAAGATCCAGACTTTAGTTCCTCCAAAAGTAGCTTCTCTTGGTTCTGTAATTTCACAGTCTCACACCTTACCTACACATCATTGTTAAAACTTGTTGAGCATCATTGTTGTTATTCTGGTCATTTTCGCTCTTTAACCCTATACACAAAAATTATTTGACAAAATCGATGAAAGGAACAATACCTTGGAAGAGGAATCATCAGAAGTTATATCGTTAGTTGACTCTAGAATACAGTCACCATGCAAAGGAGAACGGGTTTCTTCATTCCCAGAAGCCAGTCTTAAAGAAAGGTCCAATGACTCACTTATGCCCGGATCATCCATCTTCCACGAGGAGAGGTCATCGTCAACAGACCAATTGGACAAGGTATCTCTCACACGAGTCTCAAATGACAGAGAGGTTTCAGCAGACAGTTTAAGATCTTTTAGGACAGCTTCAACTTTCTGTATATGCATATCAAATGTCTCAGTGTCATCCTTCATCGCCTTGTCATCTGAAGTATATCCAACATTATCTTCAACAGTTCTTGGACTACCAGCCACATTTATGTCAGAAGGTTTTGTTTCAACATTCGTCTCGGTAAGCCTCTCCGCCAAAAATCTAACCAACTTATACGAGTCCTCTTCTGAAGGATACAGGAACTGCCGCAAGCAACACACAGAATCTGTTTTCAGCATGATTTCACACAAATAAGAAAAGCAAAACATTCACAACCAAAAGAAAACTAGTGCAAACTCTTCAAGAACAAAAATTGTAAAAGAAGGCCACCCACGGTGAAAAAACAAAAGACATAACACAGAAACAAATGATCCCAAAACCAGAATAAATAATGCTTCGACGAGAATCAATGATCCAATACGCATCTCATACATGGAAAAAAAAACTCAGCGTCCAAGCAGTTAAGCGACAAAGTTCCTTATGATCCATTCCACTATTCCCACAACTTATCAATAAGTTTCTCTTACAGACTTGCATTTCCATGAAACGTCTTGTCCTATAGTTTGGACCAAGAAGTTGCCCTAACTGTTGCCAACTTGGATTCAACCTTAAACTCCAGATTCAGATTCTTCCCAAGGAGAATCGCTTTCTCTCCAAACAAACAAACTTCAATTACCCTCTCTAACACTTGCACACGGTGAATAACTAACAAGATCCCGAGAATACATTCGCAAGTCAAATCGCGCGAAAATCGGCGAATGGATTCTCCGATCATTCTGTTCGCTGTGTAAAATGAGATCACGGTACCTTGTAATAGCTGATGTCGCCGATGTAACCGAGATTCTTCACGGCGAGGGCGATGTCGGTGCAGATCCTAAACCTGTCGGCCACAGAATCAGGGAGTTCAGTGGAGAACAACGAGGTACGGTCAAGGAGGTTGAGCAACTGAGCGCATATCAAAACCAAAGCATCCGGAGAAAATTCGCCGATCGAAGAAACGTCTCCGGGAATGGAAACACCGGATTTCTCCAGCGTCTTCATGAGCATATCCCGCGATTCCTCCATTCTTCTCCTCAACGTTGCTCTTCCTTCCGCTCACGCGAAAAAATGTTTCCCCGACTTAACCAAACGCCGCCGTTCCGCGCGTGTACGACTGACGAATTCTTTATTTTCTAATTACAAAAACACTTAATATATACACAAACTGCCAGCATTTTATCCCCCATACAAAAGATAGATATAATCACATTTGTTTCATACTATAGAACGAAAAACAAATAAAATCAATGAGATCATATATAACTCGGATTAATGTGTGTAAATATTATTAATCTTTGAAAATTATTCAAAAAGTTCCCTGTAAACCTTAACATAATGTCAATGATAATACTATCACTCTTCTACAAAACTCGCAACCCTTAATGCCATCGCAAAGATCAAATTCTGCGCACTTGAAGCATGTGGCCTACCAACCCAAACACCCTAAGGGAAAAAAAGGTAAGAAACAGAAAGCAAGAAAGATTCAGGTTTACCATCCACTGAGCTCTCCCAATGCATATCTATCTATCTTCACACACACCCTTATTCCTTGGCTTGTTATATAATAACACAACCCTTCACCCGGAACCCATCCAAAAACCGTTATGCAGTATGAAGATGTGGAGTACAAGGTGAGGAACAGGCAAGCTACAGTAACATGGTGGGATCACAGAATTGGAGCTGAAAGAGAAGGAAGAAAACCACAGAAACAGGAAGGCACCAGAACATCTTCAGCTGGCAATCCAAGTGAAAGGACTGGACACTTTCATGGTGGGATGATCAGTTCTTGACCATTTTCAGAAGAACCTTCCGAGAGCGATGTTTGTAGGGACTACTTTGATAAGCTAAGATTTGTTCAAGCCCTCAGAATTGCTCTTATGTTGGGTCTGCTATGGTGCCAACCAAAGACAACGCAGAAGCACACACCCTAGAGACCAAGCGATCAAACTCGTATCAGCGTTCTATTTATACCAAAGCTGTAAAACTCTTACTTATTTCATAACTTGTACCTGCAGGTTGGCTTGATGTTCTACATCTGCATCTTCTGGACGTCTTCATCCATCTTTGGAGCAGTACATGTTTTCCCCTTTGAGAAGATCTACATAGTGAACGAAAGAAATTACAGACTAAGTGTATACTACGTATGCAGTACACTGTGATATGGCGGCGCAAGTTTTCTACCCGGCATGCTTCATGTATAATGCTGGAACCATGAGATACAACTTTACATGGTAATGATATCATAGGGTAAGCCACATTGACTGCAAGACAAACAATCACACACACGTAAACACGAGGACTTCACGGGATAGAGAATAAAGTTAATTGCATATGTTTGAGTAATGTGCATAGAAGGAATGCCTAATGCTCTTTTAAACTGGTAAATGCATTGCAGCACATACCAAAGTTCATGCAATGGTTGAAGTAGTTGTCCTTCATGCACTACGGCTTTCGGCTGCTGCTAAAAGTCTGGTACTCAGGCGACCAGCTTTATGAATGTGGGAGCAAAGTCAGCTGCAGGAAACAGCAGAGCTCATCTTCCTTCGATACAATCAACTTGCCTGGTGGCTTGTAAGAACTATGGGTTCTGCTTGCCACTTCGAAAGTCTTGTGGCTACCGCCTCTGTGCCTACTTCGAAAGAGAATCAATTATCAGTCCTCTCTGATAATAAGACGTGAGCTGAAAAATATATGCAACCTTATACAGCAACTCTGGCATTAGATTCCTCAGTCAGTCTCTCTCGCCAGTTTTGAAATGCCAAAAGTGTTAAATGGCAGGCAGGCACGAAGCATTCAAGTTTAAGTGTATGGGTTTGATATATCATATGAGCCATCATAGAATTCTCATTGTTATAGTACAAAGACGTCAAAACCCAAGACAGAATATAAAGCATCAGTTCATCGTACAAAAAGCAATAACAACTCTGTCCAATCACTTCATGTATTTCTGCAGGAATTTTCGGTGGAAGTCATTCCTGATCGTGTCATTGATGAAGCGCTTAGCTGCTTTTGTTTCTCCGCGTGCCTGATTCTTGAACACAACATCATCATCCCACCTAAAGAATCATAATCTCCGCCTCATATATTTACATATGATTCCAATAATCATAAAAAGACAAGGTTTTCAGCCGAATAACCTCCTTTTGACATTGAATGAGGTTGGATGGTTAAGTAGTGGATTCCCTTTAAGAAGTGCTTCTTCCTTGGCTTTTAGCTCTTCCTCCTGCTGCTGGTTTTCCTGGATAACACACATAATACAATGTTTTACCAAACAATGCAACCTACCACACGTTTACAAATATGGATTTCCCACACTAATTGTTCATGTCGAAGAGTTAAAACAAATTATTGAAACCTATTCTAGCTATCGATGGAACAGTATCTGCACAGATTTCCTCCACAAACAAAACTGATCTTACCTTCCTAAGCTTCTCCTCTGCTCTTTCTTTCTTTATTTGCTCAAGTTCAGCCAAAAGAGCTTCAGTGTCGTCCTCATCATCATCGTCACTTTCTTCATCACTAATACAAACATCAAACCAAATAAGAATTTAAAAGAGATTAAAAAGTTTGTTTTGGAGAAAGAGTTGTGACATCACATTTCAAGAGAAATGACAACCAAGACTGCCATTTCCCCCTACAACGAACAGTCAGTCGTTCAATAAGGGATGACAAATTACTACAAATGACATGGTATGAAACAATACCAAAAGGAAATAAGGTAAAATGGACAAACTTTTTTTTTTTTTAACTGAGAAGTCCAATAGAAATATAGAATGCAGCTAATATAAAACCATTCGGAAACATCCCAACATCATCAGCATATCATGGCCAAATGAAGCAAGCACAAGTTACAACTATAAGCTTGATTCTTATAATCAAAGTAACCTAAAAGGAACAGAAGACTGTGGGAGAAAACATAAAATAACAAAGAAAGACAATACGGGCAATGGTCAAGTTACAAACCTGTCATTTTCACTTCTGATCTCAATGTCGGAATCATCGGCATCTGCACTACGAGGAACAATCCGGTCTTCAGGATCCCTTTTAGAACCTACAGACAAGGTATTCATGTCAGAAAATATCCTGAACAAAGTATACTGGGATTCACAAACGTCACTAAAGGTTTTCCAACCTTCCAGAAGAAGCTGATTTCCCCTTCTGCGATCTCTATCATCTGAAATGGCACACCAGTACGCATCAATACAGATGCAGCAGCCACAGAAAGAGTAGAAACAAAATAACATCATCATAGTGAGAAAGCAAGATATATTCTCAACAGCCAACATGTTTACCACTGTAAGACTTGTCTTTGGACGAGAAATGTCTCCTCTCACGCTCCTCAAGCTCATCACGAAGATTCTTCTTTTGCAACTCCTCTTGAGTGTGCTGTCCTTCCCTCCTGAGAAACAAAACGAATACAAACACGTAACCATATCCAGCCAACAAAAGGCCCTCAAAAGATCAAAACATCACACACCTTCACATACTGTGACAATTATACCAGAGAGCTACCAAAGGGGGAAGGTAACATCAATAATAAACCGATTTCTTTAAGAAAACACGAAACGCGCAAAATCCTCTCATGTTCCACGGCAATAAACCCTAGAAATCTAGCCAACCTCACAGTCACCGATCAATTCTATCAAGAGGAACCCTACAACAAACAAAGCATAATGAAAGAAAATCCCAATTCGTGATCAAAATCGGGAGAGACGCCGATTGAAATCTCACCTTGGTTTGAGAGTGGTATGAGCGGCGACATCTCTGGAGGAATATTTCTGAGAGGGACCGAAGATCCGAGCACCACCTTGCTCGTTGCCACCCTTGGCGGGAGCCCAAGTCGGCCGAGCAGCGGTAGTCATTTCCGATCACAAAGCTTCGATCTTCAAGAAAATCCCCAATCGAAGATAACTCGAGAGAGATGAACCAGGCGGTGAGAATCGAACGACGATTTGAATAGAAAATCGCGTGTTTACGTGACTGTCTAATTACTTAATTCACCTTTACGAATTATGGAAGGTCGGCAACAAATGTTTTGGTACTTCACCAGCAAAATTAAAAAAAAAAAAACAAATCTTTGGGTAATTCAAGTAAATATAATCTATTGTTGGGCCTTTATAAGAAATATGTTGGGCCTAACTTGAGCCCAATTAGTCGCATATCGTACATCTTTGGGTTTATGCATGAAAAATCATAACATCTGATTATAACGATCTAATTTGAAGATTTAAGATGTTATATTGCATTTTATAAGTCAATGATTTAAAATATTAAATTTAAGTATTTTTTTTAGAATTTAATATTGTTGTTTTCCTTTTCTGTAAGGTAAAGGTTTTGAAAATGATATATATATTTTTTCTATTGATGTTGTTTATATTATATAATTCGAATCGTTAATACCAATCCTAACAACAAGGGAGGGATTCATCTTTTGAAGCCGCATAAAACACGTTTACACTTTTTGTACAATGCGTTGGCTTTTCGTCAAACCCAATTAGTCACATTTTCTATATAATGTTTGTTGGATTGTTTTTAAAATGGTTTTCAATTAATGGTGTGTAAAATGTTTCAGATTAAACAAATAGTTTTTAAAATGAAACGCATAATATAAAAATTATTATGAAAATAAAATATATATTACTGTGTCCATATGAATTATTATTATTATTATTGCAATTATTTGTTGCAAACACAAACTTTTTTATCCGTGTCGCAATGCCCTCCTTTCGGACATTGGAAGAAGCAATCAACACACCGAAATTCATGATCCAACAATCCTTCGTCGGTCAACGCCTTTGACTTCATTTCTCTTGCATTTGCGCTGATACCTCCAACATCTCCTTCTTCATCAACCCAAAATATAGCGTATGTAAATTAATAATTATTTTGTGCATTTTAAATCGGACGTTGAAGATTATATGTATGTAAACTATAATTATCACGTCATATTGAAGATTTTTTATTAATAAAATCAAAATCCACGAAATAGAATGTGATGCGAACAAAATACTTACGGAAGGTAATAACGAGGAGGAAAACCAAGAATGCCAACTTCAAAGACATTTTATTCGTTTTGGAATTGGATGTAACAAGTTTTTTTTTTTTGTTTATGAGTATTTCGTAAAGTTCAGATATTGTAGACTGTGTTTATATAGTGGAGAGAAAAATGACGGTTTCAGTGCAGATTGCAATTCAATTAGGTAACAAATCATGAGAATTCTATTTCTACAATTGTAAATAAATAAATAAAATCATACATGGGTATCTTAGTGAATAAATATTTCTTGGAAAATTATCTACACATTTAAGTGACAAAAAAAACGAAAGTAACGGAAGCCAGTAGGAGAAGATGGGGTTTTATTATAAAAATTCAAATCAAATCAAAGAAGGCAGCAAATCGAGCGTAATTCGTTGAAATATTGTTAAAATGGTATGCATATATATATATATATAATATGAGTTTACTTTATCATTGCCTTCGATTTGTTATTTATTTTGATGCATTTTGTAAAAGAGTCTATCCATGTCCCAATAGATTAAATCAAAAGCAGGCCTCAATTTAATGATGATGATGATGAGCTGTATTACTTTAATATTCCGACACGGACCAAACGAATAATCAATAAGGCTAATAATAATAATAATAAAAATAATTTGTTACTATTAAAAAACTTGTGATTTGAATTCATAATAAAATATTCATTTCAAACAAATATGTTTCAAAATTTAAATCGTTGTTCTTAGGGTGGACGATCGGGTCACTTCGAGTTAACCGGATTCAGTTAATTCAAATTCAGATATTTTGAGTTTAAAATATTTATATCCAATCGGATATATAATTTTAATCGATTCGGTTTAATTCGGATTTGGGTTCGGATTCGGTTTAGGTTTATCCAAATAAAATTCGATAAAAAGTTCCGTCAATTATCTTATAAAAAATTACAAAAACCATATTCGTATATCATTATCTCATATCACAGCAAAACAAACAGTAAAATATTCATTAAATTAATCTTCTCAAACAAAATTTCCATTTTGTGAATCTTGTAAATAATAAAACAATAACAAATTAAATATCTATTAACCAATCAAATAATCAATAAGGCTAATAATAATAATAATTTGATTTATTAGGTTTTGGATCCAATTATTCGGTAAAAATAATTGACAAGGCTAATTTTGTGTAAAGCCCAATAAACTGGGCTTAACTTTGGCCCAATTAGTTGAGAAAACAACCGCGTTCGACCTCGAGTTTTATGTAGGGCAAGAACTACTCAATTATATTCGGTTTAAAAAAACAATATAACTATTAAGTTTTTATATTAAATTTGACCCAATTCGATTCGATTTCAATTTTTATTGATAAAATACTTGTTTTTAAAAAAAATACGGATTTTTCCTTTTTTTATTTGGTTCAAATCGATTTCTTCGTTTTTAGAATAATTATAACTATTTCGTTTTTATACCGATTACGGATTCAGAAAAGCGTCAATTATTCGGATGTTACAAATTGATTATCCATGCAAACCTCGATATTTATATCTTATAAATATATATTTTTATTTAAAATCGGACATGAAGAAAGTTGCATATGAAAATAAAATAGAGATCAGCGGAATAAAGGTAAGAGGATCCATATAATATATTTTTTTTATAAAAAAAAAATCACGGGTTGCAAACACAGAATCCGTTCTTGCAAAAGCCTCCTTTCCGCAGGGGACATTCGAAGAAACAATCATTTCCCCTTTGGCACGGCAGCTCTTCGTTTGTCGCCGTTTTCGGCTTCACCTCTCCCGCATTCACGTATTTCCTTCCGACATCTCCTTCTTCATCCCAAAAAATATAATATACATTATATATATCCATTTGAATCGTTAGTTTTTCAAAATTTATAATTAAAAATAAATAAATATATGAAATGATGCGGTATTTAAATATTTTAATAAATAAAAACCAGAAAATAGGATGTGATGGTAAGAAAATGCTTACGGAAGGTAACGAGGAGGAGGAAAACCAAGAAGACCACCTTCAAAGATGTCATCTTATTCATTTTTTTTAGAGTATTTCGGAAAACGAATATCGTGCCCCTTTTGTATTTGTAGTGGAGAGTTGGCTCACAACAATTCTTCAACTAATATACATTATATATTTATATATGAAAGTATAATAAATATGGAAATCAAATCAAATGAAATCTTACGTTGACCAAAAGAACTGAAAGATATGGAAGTCAAGGAAAGAGCTTTATGAAAATAGAATCAAATCAAAATCAAGGAAGGTAAGGTAGTAAATCGAATTAAACAAGGCTAATTTGGTTTTGAGTCCAATAAATTTGGGCTTTTGAACTTTTGTTGGGCTTTTTAACTTCGGCTCAATGAACAATATATATATATATATATATAAGGTAATAACGAGGAGGAAAACCAAGAATGCCAACTTCAAAGACATTTTATTCGTTTTGGAATTGGATGTAACAAGTTTTTTTTTTTTGTTTATGAGTATTTCGTAAAGTTCAGATATTGTAGACTGTGTTTATATAGTGGAGAGAAAAATGACGGTTTCAGTGCAGATTGCAATTCAATTAGGTAACAAATCATGAGAATTCTATTTCTACAATTGTAAATAAATAAATAAAATCATACATGGGTATCTTAGTGAATAAATATTTCTTGGAAAATTATCTACACATTTAAGTGACAAAAAAAACGAAAGTAACGGAAGCCAGTAGGAGAAGATGGGGTTTTATTATAAAAATTCAAATCAAATCAAAGAAGGCAGCAAATCGAGCGTAATTCGTTGAAATATTGTTAAAATGGTATGCATATATATATATATATATATATATATTCGAACGACGATTTGAATAGAAAATCGCGTGTTTACGTGACTGTCTAATTACTTAATTCACCTTTACGAATTATGGAAGGTCGGCAACAAATGTTTTGGTACTTCACCAGCAAAATTAAAAAAAAAAAAACAAATCTTTGGGTAATTCAAGTAAATATAATCTATTGTTGGGCCTTTATAAGAAATATGTTGGGCCTAACTTGAGCCCAATTAGTCGCATATCGTACATCTTTGGGTTTATGCATGAAAAATCATAACATCTGATTATAACGATCTAATTTGAAGATTTAAGATGTTATATTGCATTTTATAAGTCAATGATTTAAAATATTAAATTTAAGTATTTTTTTTAGAATTTAATATTGTTGTTTTCCTTTTCTGTAAGGTAAAGGTTTTGAAAATGATATATATATTTTTTCTATTGATGTTGTTTATATTATATAATTCGAATCGTTAATACCAATCCTAACAACAAGGGAGGGATTCATCTTTTGAAGCCGCATAAAACACGTTTACACTTTTTGTACAATGCGTTGGCTTTTCGTCAAACCCAATTAGTCACATTTTCTATATAATGTTTGTTGGATTGTTTTTAAAATGGTTTTCAATTAATGGTGTGTAAAATGTTTCAGATTAAACAAATAGTTTTTAAAATGAAACGCATAATATAAAAATTATTATGAAAATAAAATATATATTACTGTGTCCATATGAATTATTATTATTATTATTGCAATTATTTGTTGCAAACACAAACTTTTTTATCCGTGTCGCAATGCCCTCCTTTCGGACATTGGAAGAAGCAATCAACACACCGAAATTCATGATCCAACAATCCTTCGTCGGTCAACGCCTTTGACTTCATTTCTCTTGCATTTGCGCTGATGCCTCCAACATCTCCTTCTTCATCCACCCAAAATATAGCGTACGTAAATTAATAATTATTTTGTGCATTTTAAATCGGACGTTGAAGATTTTATGTATGTAAACTATAATTATCACGTCATATTGAAGATTTTTTTATTAATAAAATCAAAATCCACGAAATAGAATGTGATGCAAACAAAATACTTACGGAAGTTAATAACGAGGAGAAAAACCAAAAATGCCAACTTCAAAGACATTTTATTCGTTTTGGAATTGGATGTAACAAGTTTTTTTTT